AGTTTAAATTTTCTTTGAAAGTTTTTGGATTTACGTACCCTCTCAGGAGGACAATAATTTTACCGCACTTTAACCCTCTTTGAGGATACCGCCCTGAACAATCTCAGTTGATAAACTAAACTACCAATTATGAAACATTTATCTGTTTACAAAACAGTGTCTTGTCTTGGCTTCCTCTACAGGCTCTGTTACCATCTAACGTGAAATATTTACACATCGGCATACATTGTCTTAGCGTCCTCTACAGGCGCTTTTACCATCTAACGTGAAATATTTACACATCGGCATACAATGTCTTGTCGTTCTCTACAGGCGCTTTTACCATCTAACGTGAAATATTTACACATCGGCATACAATGTCTTAGCGTCCTCTACAGGCGCTGTTAACATCTAACGTGAAATGGTTACACATCGGCATACAATGTATTGTCATTTTAAAAAAGTGTTGTGTTAGCATGTTTCCATTACACAGGACATGATTTACAATCCGACATACAGTTGCCGTGCTCAACGGCTTGTGTTACCACAAACCACATAGAGTTAAGATATCGCCATAATTGAGTTAACATCAACCAACCAATCGTATCTTAAACAGATGTGGGCATTTACTTACAGTATCAAAACATTTAACATTTCTGGAGATATTGATGTTTCCGAGCGACATTGCCGAATTTAAGTTGTAAACATCTGTTACTTTCAAAGAAGACGCACAGGATTTAGATTGTCGGGCAAAATGGTGAATTCTTCTTCAGTCTGGACTTTCAGATTGGTCAGTCATATCACTTCGTTGACAGGTGCCTGGAGCTAAATTTGTGCTCTAGTTACCTTGAAACCAATAACGATGTTGTTTTGTTCAAATGCCTATTTTGACTCCGCTTGCATTGACAGCTTTATTTAACATTCAACATTATTAGTCATGTAGCATATCAAAAGGCAGCTTATGATGTATGATATGGACATAACCACATAATATGCTTCTAATTTCAATTTGGTGATTTAAAATATGACATAATCATATAAATTATTGCCTTAATAATATTGTCGTTCCTTCATCGGACACCAACATTGTAAGTATTGGTCTATATTAATGGAAACCATTTATTTAATATAAGTATTCTCCCATTTCATAATATATACTACCATGACACACTTATGTAGTAATAATAGTACCCAGGTATTGTTAATGTGACTATCATATAGCCATGCACAAGTGTCAAATCAGGCCTACCAGAACAGTCAGAATTGACACACTGACACTCGTGTCAGTAATTTAATGACATAAAGCCAAATCTGCAGTCAATATAAGCTGAATGTATTAATACAGGAGTGCAAATCATATCACAATGAACAGATAACTACATATTGCAAGTGGGGTATGCAAGTGCAATATATAATGTGCAATAGTATATGTATTTTAACTGTCACATTGTTAAGTAACTTCAATAGTCAATCAATCCTTCATTAACCTGCAAGAACAAAATATGCTGTTGAAATACAAGCTTCGACATTATTTGTCATACAAACACAAGCATGAATTCTACGCATATGTTTTCTTAATTTGGAAACTAGAACGGCCCTCGTTAGAGAACATGCCTCCGCCTTCCACAGCAATCTCCTTTCACTATAACATTTTTAAAGTACTACTCTGTACTTTCACCAAACCGTACGCAGATGTCATACCTAACATAACCACCAAGATTCATTCAAATCCATCCATAACTTTTTGAGATATTATTCATATTCTCCATTTATTCAACATTGCGATTATTTTCAAAGTACCTCTGTGTACATGTGCTTTAACATACACTCTTTAAACAAAGAAACGCAAAATAAGATTTGAAAATAATGATCGAAAGTTTGTACGCATATGTCAAATTAAGCATGTTTTGATGGTTGAATATTGTAGTTGGTATGGTTAAGAAGAACAACCATATACGATTTTGAATATTTTTATCGATCATGATTGTCATGATGAGCTTGACTGTTATGAAACACAACCAAAAGCATGCAAAGCATGAGTACAACCTATCAGTATAAAAGACCCAAATGCATCTCGCAAATTCATCCAAGACCCTTGCAAATACTGGATGAGAAAATGGGACGGCTCAACGGTGCCCACCAAAATATTGCCATTGGACGACAAGCTGGCGAATCCAAGAGTGTCGTGGCGAGGACCTTCAGCGTTCATCCCAGCACAATAACTCGTTTGTGGGATCGTTTTTGGCATTCCATTTCGACAAATGACCATCCAAGACCAGGAAGACCGTGAGTCACCACACCAGCCCAAGATCGTTACATCCGGGTAACCCACCTACGTAACTGCCATCGTTCCACCCGGGACACAGCATAAGAACGGTTTTGAGCCCGGAATGTCCGACCAGACAATCAGGAAGCGTGCCAGACGTCCAAACGTTTGGTGACTATCATTCATGTGAAATGTGCACGAGATACCAATGTATTGCTCTACATAATTTCAATGCTGTACCGTTTATTTTCGTTGATTTACATATTTGAATGAGACCAAATTTTTCAATGATATTGCTTTTGCGTTTCTTTTTTTTGAAGAGTGTACTTTCTTTAACATCTAATTGATTTGTCCTGGGGACATATCCAAGAGATCCAGTAACTTTCAATGAAATCCATATAGTAGGTTTTGGGTAAAGATGCTAACACATAAATACGCACACAAACAGGGTTGAATGCATATCCTCTGCAACAAACCTTCGGTTTTGGCAAAAGCAATTATGATCATATTGATTATTATGCATACATATATTATTGAGATTCATGATATATAATGGCAGTTGTAAAACACACATCACAAGGTACATTTTGATATACTACATGCCTATGTTGTTATTGGTTTATAAAAATATGTTTTTCTCACATTAGTGTTGCAGCTCAATTATGGGTACCGATGTTCAGTTACCCAAGAATGACACTTATGATCATCAGAAAAAATGGAGCCATGTTTTTTCTGAATCCATATGCAATACTGATTACAGTTATCAGTGGTTCTAAAAATTGACATGCACTTCCCACGGAAAGCATTTTTGCTACATAAGCCCCTGCACTATTATACTCATTAGTAGGATCCTCCAATCTGATTTTTCCATCACAAGATATCAATATTTCAGTGTAAAACAATGACGGATATTATAACCATGTAAATTTTCATTTAATCATTGATTTTTAAAAATAAATGGATTTGCTTGGAAAGTTTTGATAAATATGTTTTGTAAATAGATAAACAGCACAATCGCCAGCGGCTGAAGTGATTGTGTAAATCCAGCTGGGGTCCATGCAGAAAGCAAACGTACAGTGAGACCCCCATGGTACTTAGTATGGTGATATACCTTCAGTTGTTGAAGCCTGTAGCTTGTTTTGCAGGTTGTATTGTCTGTATTCTGGTTGTTTTAATGCTGTTCGTCAACAGGTTTTATATTCTCGGTTTATGTGTCATGAATGTATAGCTTGTTTTAGTCAATATATGGCTGAAATACTGCCAATGTGACTAGAAATCTTAACTCACTCACTCTCACCAAAAGTTCAAGCTTTTGGTGACAACTACTGAGGTACAAACGAACATGCTCTTTCTACGATGATTCCACAGTGTGTCAAACATCCCTTGCGTAAACATTCTAGGCCCTCGTCGCATTATTCTGATAGGTATGTCAAGGACAACATAAGGTTTTACACATCAGTTGTGAAATGCACAGTGTAATTTGAATTTTACCATGTTTGTTATGTTAAAGACTTGACATGCCCCATCGTGTGTCTGTGACGTGTGCCGCCGGTGTTATGGACATCTTGTATCATCATTATTTGAAAGTAATTCACGGCACACATTCTTATGATGTAGTACAATTCAGTCTGCATTTAGCATCAACTTGGTGCTAAACCCAAGTCACTCACTCTCTCTGCATTTAGCATCAACGTGGTGCTAAACCCAAGTCACTCACTCTCTCTGCATTGAGAATCAACGTGGTGCTAAACCCAAGTCACTCACTCTCTCTGCATTGAGCATCAACGTGGTGCATTGATTGAGCATCAACGTGGTGCTAAACCCAAGTCACTCACTCTCTCTGCATTGAGCATCAACGTGGTGCTAAACCCAAGTCACTCACTCTCTCTGCATTGAGCATCAACGTGGTGCTAAACCCAAGTCACTCACTCTCTCTGCATTGAGCATCAACGTGGTGCTAAACCCAAGTCACTCACTCTCTCTGCATTTAGCATCAACGTGGTGCTAAACCCAAGTCACTCACTCTCTCTGCATTGAGCATCAACGTGTAGCATCAACGTGGTGTTAAACCCAAGCTAAACCCAAGTCACTCACTCTCTCTGCATTGAGCATCAACGTGGTGCTAAACCCAAGTCACTCACTCTCTCTGCATTTAGCATCAACGTGGTGCTAAACCCAAGTCACTCACTCTCTCTGCATTTAGCATCAACGTGGTGCGTTAAACCCAAGTCACTCACTCTCTCTGCATAGCATCAACGTGGCAACAACGTGGTGCTAAACCCAAGTCACTCACTCTCTCTGCATTTAGCATCAAAGGTGGGTTGAACCCAAGTCACTCACTCCCTCTGCATTTAGCATCAAAGAGGCGTTGAACCCAAGTTACTCACTCTCTCTGCATTTAGCATCAAAGGGGCGTTAAACCCAAGTCACTCACTCTCTCTGCATTTAGCATCAAAGGGGCGTTGAACCCAAGTCACTCACTCTGCATTTAGCATCAAAGGGGCGTTGAACCCAAGTCACTCTCTCTGCATTTAGCATCAAAGGGGCGTTGAACCTAACTCACAATCTCTGCATTTAGCATCAACGTGGTGTTAAACCCAAGTCACTCACTCTCTCTGCATTTAGCATCAAAGGGGCGTTGAACCTAACTCACTCTCTTTGCATTTAGCATCAAAGGGGCGTTGAACTCGAGTCACTCACTTGACATAAAACCATTAAACACATTCTAAGGATTATGACAAGTATGTAGTTTTTATTCACGAAAGATTTTGAGTAAAGTCTCACTGGAAGAGCAACACATTAACGAAACATATAGCCATTTGATATCTAGAAATGAAATGAATGTACAACTGTAGTTTGAAAGCACATGGGAAACGCATTACATTCCTTAGGTCCCATAGTGATATACGGATATACCAACATATACCATTGCATATTAACTCCTTTTTAGCATTATTTTGAAAGGTAAACCTAACAATGTAAAAAGAGATCCTTTGTTAGATACTTTGATATTTTCTATTCCCAGACTGTGGGTATCAACATACACAGAAGAAAGGAAACCGTTACTGCCACGGATCCAATGGATCACTGGAGTAATATTCGACGATCAAAATCGTCTGTTATAACAGTGTGCTTGCTATAACCGTATAATAAGGATAAAAATTATATCCAACGATTACAAATCTTTGGAAGGACTTACTTCATACATCGTCCTGATTGATCTCAAGGTGTAGAGAAGAGATTGGTAAAGATTCAGATGATCATGTCGAACCTTTATAAGGTTGTAGGGGAGGAAATGAGTGTTGTATGACCATTGTTTAGACAAGACAATTATAGCTTTGGATAACGGTTTGTTGAAGGAAAAGGGTAACATGGGTCATTTCCTTACTGTCTTGACAACTTAATAATCTAATATCAACCTAGTATTAATAAATAATACATAGGTAATACACGCACACGCACACGCACAAGCACACGCACGTGCTCACGCCGAATGCGTTTAATCTTGGCGTATTTCGTGAAGGCCCAAAAGGTTACAGCTACAGTTTTATTACCTTGGGTATCGACAAAGAATGTAAAAGTGGTAAACATGCTGTTGAGACTTTGTACCAAATGCATTCGTAATTGGATCAGTCGTCATCTAGGGTATAACCAAACATCAAAAGCATAATAAACATCTACATTAAAGTGCTTCAGTTATATATCCAGACAAAATGACGATTCTCTCTTGATTATAAACATTCATCTTACCAGTGCTTGTGTAGAATACTATTTACAGTATTCTAATATTCTCTTATTCCCATTAAAGCCTTTACAACAAAGCACGGAGCTAAGCTAAGTTCCTTATAATAAATCATTACATTCAATACCAAATGCACTATATAGTCATCTATATTTCTATACACCTTTCCTAATATGTTTGACGTAGGTACGTAGGTGCGTCAATATTGCAGTTGTGACAACCACATTCAAATCGTGACAATGGATGACCACATACACTTAATCGGATATACCTAAAGTCATGTTTAATATAAGAAAGGTAAATGAAGCTCGGAGATAAATGAATGTCGTTTCAAAGATCCAATACTATCATTACGTTTAACGAACAGAATGACGAGTAAAGGAGTACACTGTAGTAAAGGTATCGATGCAAAGCTAGTGTTGTATATAGTACAGATCCAGACGATTAAATAATTAATAATGACAAATTGTTTACTGCTTTATATATCGATTTCGCAGATGAAGGGATATGGAAGGCTACACTTGATGTCATTGAAACCAGACGAGGCTGAGTGCAGACACATCCCCCATGTGCCGCAGTTGCCGTTAGGTTGATCGTCCTTCCATCTGAAGTAGGTTACATTATCACCATTCGAGTACATCCAGCCTTTGCCCACTGTACACATGCCATCGATATGCACTGAAATTATGTGTAAATAGTGTCACTGAGTTTAGCTTCCTGACATTTTCAAAATCATTTTCACATCAACGTTTTATGTAATATCGGGTTATGTACAAAATATAAACATGAGTGCATCCGTTGTCTCGCCAAATATTTACCAGTGGTGTCTATGTATAAATTGTATATCACCAGCTGTAACGGATGTACCCATGCACCTTACTATCTGGTTAATCCCCTCCATACAGGTCACACAGTATATCGTACAGATAAATGACGTCTAGATTCATACTCACATCATTAATGACTTGACACGTGACGACAATTTAATGATGGTCACGTAATTTCTTTCACTGTATGTCAATCGTACACTTTTAGTTTAACTGGGATTCTCGTTTGTTGGGTTCGTTTAAGAGTTGGAACTACAGGAGCTTCAGTCGAATCCATATTTTACTTATTGACAAGTTGATTACGAACGATATATCCATTTGGATATATGTGCAGATTTGAGGCAACCACAGCCAATAGCTCACATCTGTGTATTTAGTTATTAAGGAGTAAACTTAAAGAGGAAGCCGGTATTCAAGGCCTAAAAACCCTTTCAAATGCTTTTTGTTGTTCTTGTTGACGTTGTTGTTGACATGTGGAGGAATAATGCATTGAGGATCGAAACGATGGCGATTTCAGACCATTTTCGATCAACTGCGGATCGGATACCTATTTGGAAACACCGAGATTCTTCCGATTTCTAGGGTAACTCTGACTTCAGAATCGGAGACAGTTTTTGTTGAAGTGATAAACAGGTGTTCTTACTGACTGACTTACTGAATTTGGTTTTACGCCGCTTTTAGCAATATTTCAGCAACATCACGGCGGGGGACACCAGAAATGGGCTTCACACATTGAAAAGGTGTTCTCAACTATCATGAGTTAAGTAAGATTATTTCTGGGGTCTGTTACTTTAAGTTGCTGTCACCTATTAGAGACACCGTATTGCCTTATTGACTTTTGTTTTCAGATTCTATTTTACAACCTAGTGAGGTCATTTACTGATTTCACGATTTAGTTTTGTGCATACCCATTTCTTGCTTAACTTATAAAATGCCGTGAGTGGCAATACAGCAGGTTCCCTTTCTGCTATGGATAAAACAACCGTTTGCGTCTACATTCCAAACCTCCTCAGACGAAATGTGAGGCATCAGTGACTAAAACTGTTGTTGTTTTTCGATACTATTCCCTGTATTGATTTTTCTGGGGAGTCATTACACGTCACGTCAGTGTTCACCAGAGTACCATCAGTCGTTCATGGGACAGATATCAGCAAACCAATTCTTTTATAAATCGGAAATTTGGCTGCAACTGATCCAGAGTTGCATGTGTTATCTCAATTTAACGTTAGTAGATTAAATTTGTTAAAATACACCTATGCGTATCGTTTTTATATAGAGGGAAACGAGACAATAACAAATTTTCTCGTTGCTGAATCGTATTGGTGCTGTGATCTTATCTGCCCAAAATAAAACAATTCCCCTGTACAAATAAGTTCATAAATAGTTTCAGATAGGAAAAAAGGAAGTCATCATGGTTTATTGTTCTTATGTGGAACTTTGACTGAATATTAACACGTTTCATTAATTGATAGCTTAGCTGTTTGTAATAATAAAGATATGGTATACTCATAATGGCAGTGAGTGCTGATGATTTCAAAATCAGACAATACATTAACATCATGCAAATATTGGAATAAAAGACAACGGAGACTTCTACTTCTATACCATCATTTTTGAGGGACAGTTTTTAAGGTTTCACGTGATTGCTTACCGTATCCTTTAGGCCACATGACAGACACGAGTTCATCCTTTGCACTTGAATTGATTCTGATGAGATGAGCTCCCTCGGACAGGCAGATTCTATCAGCATGATAGTGCCCATATTTAACGTCACCGTGTATTTTGAAACACACATTCATCGGGGAATTAAAATCATAACCAAGATGACTTGGGCAACCATATCCATCTGAAATAAACATTCTTTATAACAGTCACGGCAACTCAAAATAGGTACGTCAAAATGGGAGTTTTGCTGCATGATTGGAACCTTCGATAACACGTCTTGTTTCAATCGTACTCTCATCTTTTTTTCAACAAGGACTCATAAAAAGCTCTGAACATAATGTTCCTCAAGAACAACAGATAACACTCTGAGTTAGCGAAGCATTGGGTGATGCCATGAAACGTCGTTAACCCTTTCCCATGAGCATGTATCAAACTGCAGAATCAACAGTCTGGATATGCATGTATGAGTAGTTTATAATGCGTAATGTATTTTTTTAGATATTTCTTTCCCAGATGAAATGGAATCGCAGGTTCTGGAATAACAAGTCTCAGGTAAAGAGGTTTCATTTTATGGAAGCAGAACCAGACCTGGGGATCAGAAAGGTGCGTCATACAAGCAAACAAACATTAATGTACTGTAAACGTATTATATTTCGCGCAGGTTTTATTTTCGCGCTTTTCGCGCAAAACATTTTAGCGCGAAAATTTATACACCGCGAATAAACCTGTCATTCATTCAGTCTAGCCAAGCTCGCCCCTGAGTTGTTACCATAACACATCAAGTTTGAAGACAGAAATCTACGGGAATCTTAAAATGACGACTGATAGTAGCATGAAGAATCATACTTAACTGTCGCTGTAATGGATTTCCCAAAACATAATTAAATAATGAGCCAAATCCCATCGCCGAATTAGCGAAAACAGCAATGTGTGTTGTGGCCGCACAGATAGGGATTTCCTGTGAGTAAGCAATAAACGCCGCCTGACAGGTTAAGCCACTCTGTTTGTTTTCACTGCTATAAGTGGCGGCCAAAGAGACAGCTGGCAGTTTTGGCAATTACTCATTGCGCGAATAATTGACCGCGCGATGTAGTCTAAACTGTCAATTTCGCGAAAATTGCACCACGTGAAAATAAGTACGTTTTATCTCGGAGTATTATCTCGGAGAAAAACCTACTGTCTTTGTGTGGTACGATATACTGACAAGAAGAAGACATGCCATGGGCACCAGTTGTGCATCGTCACATTTCGGGATACATGTTTTTACATAATTTTTCCTTTTTACATATCTTTTTCCAGAAGAGATCGAGGGCAAATTCCAGCCTAACGGGGTCCGGTGAAACGGAGATATGGGATAGGGGCTTCACACAAGCAAACCAACAGTGGTGTTTCTAGGAGAAAAACTACTGTAAGGGGTAATTTCAACATTCCCATCATATCAAGGTCCCGTTCCAATAGCCCCGGTATTTTTTGTGTACATTTCACAGATACTGAGGTGCAATCGAGCATGCTAATCCGCGAAGAAATTCCCTTTGACCATAATAATATTCGATGTAATTCCCTACTTTGACTGGATATTTTATCTTCAGGGGAACAATTCATTGATGTTGCATATATTCCTGGCGGGCGTCATGGATGGGGCAAGATACGATCAACATCTGATGTCATGACTACTTGTTATTGATTCAAAAACAAATGTTCAATGTCTGTTTATGTAAAGCATGACGATGTTAAATTACAATGGTTTGAGCATATGTAAAACAACCTCTGTTAAATGGCCAGTATATGTGTTTCCCTAATTCACCTGGACAACCAATCCAGTTTTGTGGGTCCTGCATTTTTAGGTAGTGGGGTAACGGTATGGTAACGATATTCCATGACAGAAATACGCATGTTAAAACAGTGAAGTGTTTCAGCTTTTGTGAGCATTTTTGCGGAAGACATTCAGAGGGGTGAGGGGCAGTGGTTAAAGGGATCGTTAGTCACGCCGATGACCCTTGTTTAATTATCCCCATGATTACAGAGTGTGAAAGCCAATTCCGTTTACCCCTGCAAGCACATGACTGACTGACTGACTGAGTTTGGTGTTTACGCCGTTTTTAGCAATATTCCAGCAACATCACGGCGGGGACAACCAGAAATGGGCTTCACACATTGTACCCATGTGGGGATTCGAACCCGGGTCATCGGCGTGACGAGCCAACGCTTTAATCATTAGGCTACCCCACCGCCCTGCAAGCACAGGATATTGCTGGAGAGTGATAAAGGTTTCGTAGAATCATGCTCATTCACTCATTGTATTCACGCAAAGCGTTTCCTTGTGATAAGTTAATTGCGATGTATCAATCACTTTCTTTCACTTTTAGGTGAAAACACTAGCCACGAATCTGTTTGACCAGATCGCCAATCTCCCTTACCTCTGTTGGTGTTGTAAATGTCCAAGTCAGTATTGATGTCAGTTCCCCAGAAGGGAACTTCAAGCCTGCCTGGATAGGTGTAGCACTGTTTGTTGTTCCTGTTGTAAATCAGGGAGACACACTGCTGGTATCTCAAGCAAGAGCTGAAGCAGTCCAACACGTTGTCCACATTTGTTGGTGGAGCTATGTCCGAGGGGAGGAAGTGTACCAGAGACAGATGCAGCTGAAGTCGCAGGAGCGCCATGGTCCAATCTCTGACTAAATGGAGAATAGTGACATGTTGCTATAATTGAATCACGAATATAAGTTTCATTATACTAGAAGTTCGTTGTCAAATGTGAAGCAAGTGGCCGAGGCATAAAAATAGTTCCATATTTCCGTCAGTTTGTCATATGCGAGCTCGTTATAAACGTAGATTACAACATTTGTTATTGATATGTAACATGTTATGGATATGTAACATGTCATTGATATGTAACATGTTATTGATATGTAACATGTTAGATGAAGTTTATGCATTTTCAAATACCATTCCCACTGAATACTCCGTAATACTGTAGGGATCGGAAACCATTCCATATATACAGTGGTGATCTTGTCAATAGTTTTGTCTTACATTCAGAAGGAATTGACTTGGTTTCTGATGTTTATTTGCCCATTCTTTTAACTGTCTATATTGAATCTGCTATCACGCGTTAACTCAAAACGAGAAACTACACTAAGCTAAACTGCCTCAAAGTCAGGATCTTTCTTGAAAGTAGGTTTCTTTCACAATACACATAAGGCTACAGTCAACAAACCATTTTGAACGAATCAAATGATTTGGAGCCCATTATATTGAAACAATATCACATAAGTCCCCTTGTTTCATCATAACCAAACCAAGCGTAGACAGACAGATAGAGAAACAGACAGAGTTTCGTGAATACATCGTACATGGCACTGAAACAAATCTTTGAAACGGTCTCTTTTTGTACCCAAAACTTCATCTTTCATATTTTAACAACGATGCGGTAGTGATACTTCCTTGGCGTCTGTATAATAGCAGTATGAAATACTATATGCTCAAGCATATGTTGCATAAATATACCCTCTGTTGTGTGCAAGTACTTTAGAGAATATGTCAGTAATATTACTTACAAACTGATGAAGAGCTGTTCCAATACGTGCGGTAAAGAACTCTGTCTTACAATAATTACTTTCTGTTTTAATCGAAATGCGTTTTCGTTCCGTTCATTCGTCACATTAAACTTTCAAGTAATGGAACCGTCATCTGCTTGTTAAGTCTTAATAGGTGCCTTTATTATTGTGCCATATTGATTTTGGCTCAATCTCATCTATACATGTGAGCACTGTCGGAAATGGTAAAAAAACTTGGTTTTTTTTCATATTTATATCTACAAGTTAGGTAGTTAATATGTGAAAGTGTGAAATATCTGTTGAACTAAGTTCGGCCTAACTACATTCTCAGTGGTAGGGAGATAGGAAACGTTAAAAAAGGATTTTACTGAGGAGATATTAGTGCAAAAATTAGCAATGCGGTTATTTTCAAAGTCCGAAGAGACTTATTTGGAGCAGACCATGGCTTTATGCAAATTAGTGTGCGATGATATTGTATAACAAACAACACTTTTTGAATGTCCATTTTGAAATTAGACTTAGCTTCATAATAAACGATAGCAGACGTAAAAAATAACACCTTTAATACTGAAACTATTAAGGATATAGATACCATTGCGTCTCACTATCACTATAAAAAGAAACAGGTAGGAGGGGTCGTCTCAAAAGCAAAACCAAGACGGGTGTTGCTGACGGTAGTTGGGGTCGGGCTTGTGGATAGAGATATTCGCTAAGATTAGAAAATCAGTTGAGACATATTCAGTACACATGGAAAAGCATAGAAGATATTTGAGATGACCCCTTGTGTCTGTGGGCAGCACGTGCATTTCATGCCAAGTGAGTTGACGGTCAGTCGTCATACCCGGCTGAACGACCTAATTGCCATCTATAGTCTGATCTTTTGTTTTCAGCAGCTGTTCGTATTTTTTCTAAGTTTTGCCCGATTTTACGAGTAAACATGCTTTTCTGGATATCCTATTACACATCCCACTGAACGCCCACTTAGGCCGATGTGGGTTATTTCGACATATGCTATTTGCAATTGTGCAAATTTTAAGGATACAGAGTAACAGCCTGAAAACAGTTTTTTTTCCTATTCTTTACAGTACTTTAGTAAAGATTAAGATTTGTTCCACATGCTCGATAATTCAATACATGCAACAGCTGTTCCGAAACGTGTGATCAAGACGGCTTAGGTACAAGAAGTACGTTTTCGTTTGTCACATTAAAATCTTTCAAGCAATAGAACCGTCATTGGTATGTTAACCCATCATACACTAAACGCCAAAAGAAACGTTACCCTCCTTCCTGAAGGACGGAGATACCTATCTTCAGCTGGCGTTGTGATGCGTGGACGTCCACTTCTTGGTCTGTCTACGGTGACCCCAGTCTGTCTGAAGCCCTGAATAAATCTTACAACCGTGATACGGTGGCATCCGTGGGCGTTGGCATTGTATGTCGACCCCATCTGCACCATCCCAATGGCTAATTTTTCTCTCTTCAACTGTTAATTGTGGCCTATTTCTCGTACTTGTGTATCATATCATATATTCTAGGCTCTGTTCATACCCTACATTCTAAATGGGACCGCCTCCGTGGTGTAGTGGTTAGAGCGTCCGCCCGGAGAGCGGAAGGTCGCGGGTTCGATCCCCGACCGCGTCATACCAAAACGACGTTAAAATATGGTACTTGTTGGTCCCTGCCTGGCGCTCGGCATTAATGGGTACAACAAGGACTAGTCGGCTCGGAGTCAGTATAATGTGTCTGAGTGGGGTATTCATGCTTCACTGCGGCATGGTATCTCAGTGGGCTAGCACTATGAAACCAGCTTACGTCTGGGCTAGTACAAGCAGCCGTACATACACATGCATGCACGCCGTCATATGAGCGAAATATTCTCAAGCAAGACGTAAAATCCAATTTCATACTCACCTCACCTCACATTCTAAATGTGAAATGGATGCAAATACTGCTTGAATATTGCTGCCTTTTGGCGATTGATATTGCTATGTGTAAACAGAAAATGTTAAAATGTTACTTTGCAAGCTAAACATTTTTCACAATATCAAAGAAACGTTTTACTTGTTTTCACTAATGCAAATCAGCAGAAAATGTTTTAAAAGACTGAAATCATAGGAATGATTAATTTACAATTTTACACACTCTACAACCGTTGTTTCTTGTTTTAATAGTTTAAAAATGGTGACTTGAAATGATTTTCCTTTCTCCAAAAGCAGAATTATATTTCAACCTTTCATTTGGACATCTAAATTACTGTTTTTGGTTTATTTCGGCATGGACGAAAATAGGACAATTTAACCATTCTGAAAAATATGCTTTTCACCTAAATACGAATGCATATGAGAATTTCTTTTTGTGATTCGCATAAAGCTGTGTTTGTTAAGCTTTCTTGTAAACTAATACCTGCTAACATATCTTTGATAGTGTTTAAGTAATTCATAAAAGTAGAAGGGTAACGTTTCTTTTGGCGTTGAGTGTAGATGCCCTCAATACTGTGTTGTATTGATTTTGGCAAGGTTATCTCATACTAAACATCGATCTATAGAACTGGTAATGAATATATTTTTTTTCCACTCGATAAGTCAATGCATAGTTGCTGGGTTACATAGCGGTTTCTCACAAAAAAATGAATAGATTAAATCCAACGCACTTGTTTAGCATTGTCGTTAAGAAATGAAACGTCAAGTTGTTAATTAGTGGATCAAACATGTAACCGGGTGCATCGGACCTGCACTAGCTATTCAACAATAATATATCCATACGTTTCTCATCAAACAAGCTGTACAAAGAAATCATCAAACCAAATTTACTAATGATCATTAAGGGTACAGTCATTACCTTAGGAAAATCACTGGAGACACAGATGGACCTGATGTGACAAAATATTAATGTAAATATATTTTGTAAAGTATTTGTAGACTTAAAGACATTTAGGAGAGGAGAAATGCATCAAAGTAAGCCACCGAGGCTTCCACAAAGGGATAAAGAAAGCCCGTGGCTTAGACTACCAGTTGTCCGACTTCCACTTTTGTTGAATCCAAGATGGCTGAGTGGGTTAGACTACTGACTGTGTGTACTGGCGATTAGGTGCCTTACTCTGAGGGTGTGGGTTCGAATCCCAGATGGGACTCTGTACTTTACTGAGAAAGTGTAATCCCGAATATAGCACGTGTAACATTTGACCATAAGTGACATTAATACGATGCTAAATGCCAACACCAAAGACTGGAGTTGCAGGAATATTGCTCGAAATGAAGTTATATCTCATATAGCCTGGTAGTGGGATTTTTGTCAATGTAAATGCATTGATCTGATCATCGACCTCGTGACGCATATCAGTGGAAAGAAACTGGCTATTGGGGGTTGAGGGGTGGGAGATCTCAGACCTTTGACACATTTTTCCTGACGAAATTACTTTTGGGGAGGGGGGGGGTGTTTGTTTTTACAGTTTGTTTTTTGCTGGGTTTTAGGTTTTGTTTTGTTTTGTTGTTTTTGTTGTTGTTTATTTTGCTGTTGTTGTTTTTATTTTGTTGTTGTTGTTGGTTTGTTGCCACCATGAGCAGAAAATGTGATGAACATGCATAAAGGAACAGATCTGCTAAGAGAGGAGCACAACTTGTGCCTTTGGGGATGCCTACTTCTTTTACATTTTTCCTCGTTAAATTTACACTGATGATATGCATGAGGAAACCCAGCTTTTCGTGTATTGATTTCTCCATACTAAACTTCAAATGACATTTGCTTTCATTTTTGACAAATTGTCCCGAACATCTGAAGATAGATATGTAGCTATATCTATGCTCACCACGTTTATTACCAGCTATCCCCCATATCAAAGATGTCTTCGGGTTTGTCCTGTGAGGTAGTGGCGTAAAAAGATGAAAGATCAAGTGCTTTGACAGATTTAACTCAGTCTGTTTCTGAGATCGTAAAAATAGAAGTAAATCCTTCTGAGAATCCACATGGTATTAAAAACGCTTGTCTCGAATACTGTCTGTGGTATAGAAATAGTCTATCCTTGGTAGTATTATCAATTATGGCTAATCACTGACACAGGGATTTGATGGTATATTTGCGGGACTTGTCTATGGATCTTCTGGATTGGCTTGTCAGAGAGAGGGGCTAGCTATCTTTCGATAACTGTTTATAAAATACATAAATGTTAATGGCAGTATCCTCAAAAGCAGTTAAAGTATTGTAAATTTGTTGTTCATATGAAAGGATGTGTAAAATGTAAATTTTAGCCTTTCGCGTTTTTAATCGCAGAATATGCGTTCTTTTAACTCACAGGTACATTTGAACAAATGAAGGGATGGTGTAAATGCAGGCTGAGTCTATGCAGGTACCAAATGCATTGTCCCCTGTAGCCCGTTTTAATATTGGATTTTATATCGGCGTAACCTCTGCATAACCACAATCAGGGCTGTTTTAGTGTTGAAGTAAACCTGTCTCACGTTACCTGCTGTATATATTAAACATGACATGCATATACACTGACAATCGGTGTCTTGTCCTTCTCCAGAGGTTGTGTTTCATCAAACATGAAATGGTTACACACCTACATACAGTGTCCTGTCGTTCTCAATAGATTGTTACTACAAACCACGTACAGTTAACCTATCGCCATAGTGGAGTTAACCTCGACCAACCAATGGGGGTGTATCCAACGGTATTGGCATTTAAATATCTGAATACCTTCAATATCTTCATTGTTGCTGTTGCACTTTACCAAATAATACATGTGTTTTGCAATCTTGCAGTGAAATGAAACAGAAATAGTAAGTCTTTCGTAAACTGATATCCATCTCGTGTCCTAATTTCTCCGATTGTCATCACAGTCTAACACGGCAGCTGCAACACTGTCACATTCACACAATGCATCAAAGATCTGCTGATGCATCAAATGATGAGGGATATCCATAGTCAACATAGCCTTCCAGCTTTCACAAAAGGCTTCGAAAATTTGTCAGAATGAAGTACGAAAAGCAACAGCAACAATGAAGTCCTTGTAAAATATTACCAAATAAATTGA